AGCCAGCAGCATGCTGGCTACAGAATTCTGGGAGTTGAAGTCCACACATCTTAAAGTTGCCAAGTTTGAAAAACACTGATTTAGAAAAAAAGTTGATAGTACACATATTTCCCAATGAGAGGATTTCCATTTCATGAGTCTACAGCCATACTACCCTGAAAACATCTGTTTCATGAGGACTATATGTGATCCAATTGATATATTTAAAGTGTACAGGTTTAAATCAATAGTACATAAGAAAACCTCAAGATTCTGTAACTCAATTAATTTTGTAATGGAGGGATTTCCAAATGGCTGGGAATAATCCATTTTCAAAAAGTTATGCAATATTTTAAAGATAAATATTTGAATGTTTCAGCAAAATGAGGCAGGGAAGCAGGCAGGAGGATTGCCAGCCATCTCAGATACTACAGTCCTTTCAAGCTGAATGCTTTCTTTCACCATACTACTGTATCATGTGAAGGACTCCATCAGTTGCTAATAATATGCCATCAATGATATGGTAATCAGTGCCAAGGGGGAGGAGTCTCCTGTGCCTTACAGAGTCAAGAAGAGGAATGTTGGCCACACAAGTCATCTGGGAGACAGAAAGACTGCTCCTGAAGTACTCTCAACTATGCACTTGTTAATAGGGGAGGAACTCTGTCTTTCTTTGCCCTGACCACAGCTATCTTTCTGACCATCTGACCATTTATGCTCTTTGTCTTATCCATATCATTCTTGACATTATGGTAGGGCAGGATATAGAATATCTTATTTCTGGCCCTTGTGCTTTCAGGGTAGAAAACTATTAACATTCAAAATCAGTGTCCCTGGAAAATCTGCAGCCATGGTATGTTCCCTCCTTCACCCCCTACATAAAAAATGGGGCCTCCAGTCTTCAATAAATACTTCATAGCTAATTTAAAGATGGTTTAAAATGTTACAAATATTTCCACATCAACCAAGCATGGGATATATGGGGGCACAGAGAGATTACAGAGAGTTGCTGTAGAAGTGGACTGGCTGTCCTCAACATAACTCTCTCAAGCTTTAAGGGCACAAATTACATCACACTGGGCCAGTGTTTCTCAACCTCAGCAACTTTAAGATGTCTGGACTTCAACTCCCAGAATTCCCCAGCCAGCAACATGCAGAATTCAAAGGTAGTCATCAATATACACATCCCAAACTTGTAAAGGCATTGATATTATCCTCCTAATGCTCAGCACGGTGTTTCTCAACCTCAGCAACTTTAAGATGTCTGGACTTCAACTCCCAGAATTCCCCAGCCAGCAACATGCAGAATTCCCCAGCCAGCAACATTCTGACAGTTTGACACAGAATAACATCTCTTTTCCATTTCCTAAGGAGATCTTGCCTTCTATAAGCTGAGTGCAATATTTATTGCCTTGATTTAGAGCAGTTTTTCTCAAACTTGGCAACTTTAAGATGTGTGGACTTCAACTCCCAGAAT